AAATTAGCTGCTGATTGTGACGTCTTTTTAGACATTCATTCCAAACTACCTTTAACCTTGTACCACTTTTTAAATCTTTTGCTAAGTCTTACCCTTAGTCAATTAACCCGGCTTCATATTTTTCGAGTGGAAAAGCGTGTAATGTATATTCGTTTGTTAGAATGCCAAGACGACACCTTACAATGTCACCTTTGGGCTCAGCATGGTCACTGTAAAGGAATAGCTTACGCCGAGTTTATGAAAAGACACTGTAAGGCCACCTGTGGATATTGTGGTAAGTTTCTTATTCAAAAATAACCTTGGTTATACTGTGTTGCTATGTATGTTTGTAGAATGCATTATTCTGGTTCGCTGCCTTTTCTTTGGTTTACATGAAATGATATTTGTTTCCTCTCGGCTTTCCACAAGCTCCATCTAGTTTTAACATAGCTGGTATTCGTCCTTGATGTACTGTGTTGTTATGTATGTTTGAAAATACTTTCGTCAGGGTCTATGCCTATGCTCTGGTTTTAGTGAAATGATAATTGTTTCCTTTCGGCTTTCCACAAGCTCCAACCAGTTTTAACATCGCTGGTATTCGTTCGTGTCTAACTCCATCGATATTTGGTTTTACTCTGCTTCCCAAATGCCTTTCATATTGGATAAAAAAGAAATGCACTCTATTTGAGTGTCGATGTATTTAGCACGATAGTACAAATTGGGGACACTATTTTAACGTCTCCTACTGGAGACGGGGCCGCCATTTTACCTGGTCATCCGAGCCACGCGAAGAACTATCCATTTGCAGGGCAAAGGCAGTACCTTCATTTCTCAGTTATTTTAAGGCCCTGAGTATTGGTCCGGCCCGGGGAATCGAACCCGCGACCTCCCGCTCTGCAGTCAAGCGCTGTACTGACTGTGCTAACCCTGCTGCGGATCCTGACAAAGGCACCCAATACAGCTTGGTGACCCTCGACTGTGCTTATTTTCTCAAACGTTTTCATATTTTGTGATATAGGACTTCCATCCGTCATCAAAGAAAGCGCAAAGATTAAACAGCCCAGCAATCAGTTAACCCAAGACGGTAGGTATTACTTTAAACGATCGACGATTTGTGAAGGACATGAAATATACGCAAACAGTTAAGGGAAAAATATAACGTGTTGAAGCGTCATAATTGTGGTTCACAATACTTGGCTATCGTCAGACAATTATAAACAAGCCTTATCGACTTAGTCCTCTTATGTGAATTCCCCTTGGGCAAATGTCCAAACGAGTTAGTTGGTGAACGGGTACAATGGTATCCACCTTATATACGGAATCTATCCTTAAGAGTATATATAAACCGTTTACATATTGTTTCCGTATAAACGTGCCAGATTGTACCTGTTTAAAATGTTCACCGGAGTGCTGTGGACTTACACTTAAGTCGATGCAAAAGTGGCATCATGGATGTTCTCAAGACAGATAACCTACCATCTTTGTCATTTTGTTCTCAATTTATTCTCACAGAACCCTGTGAGGATACACCTACTTATGAATTTAGCTGCCAGAGGTGGCAAGCTCAAGGTTACTGTGAGAGAAGGCAAAAGGAAATGAACGTCGTTTGTAGAAAAACATGCGGTTTTTGCGGTAAGATTTACAACTTTATCATAACCTTCGTGTTTGATGGCTTGTTTTGACGATCCCATGGTAAATAAAAAGAGTTCCAGCTGCCATTTTAATGATTTATACTTTTTCTTTTTAGAGCCAGCTGGAAAAACGTCCAGAGCGTCTTCGTCGTCTCATCCGTCGACTTCTTCATCACAATTACATTATAAGGAAAACAGCAAGAAACAAGCTCCAGTGAATTCAAAACAGCCCAATACGTTTCTATCTAAACTAAATTTAAACGAGTTACTGAAAGCAGAAGAGAAATTGTCTCCGTCAGTTGGCCTCCAGTCGCTAATTTCTGTTTCATCCAAAACCCCCAAAAACCCTTTTGTTGGTGAAACTAACCAAGGACCTCCAAAATTGTCAAGTCTTAAAGCCGTTAGGCCAATTGGACGTTTAATGCTTAACCAAAGTGTGAACCTTCCGAAGAACTTAAATGAGTCACGTGTTGTTTCTTCTCACGAATTGGAGAACAAAACAATGACTTGGACGGACATGAAATTCACTAAAACAGGTTATAAAGAAAAATCAGGTTGGAAAATTTCTGACAAGTCCTTTCCCACACAGTTTCCCACACAATCTGATGTATCGGCGAATTTTCCTAATGACATCAAAATGAAGGATCAGTTGAGGCAAAACGCATCAAGATTGCCAACAGCTCAAGATCAGAGTGTCACCGATAAAGCCGGAAAGTTTATGTTAGCGCCACCAGTTAAAATGAACTTGCCATCTTCAAGTGGTTTCAAGCCCCAAGTAACTTCCCCTTCCCTGTGGCTAAAGACTTTTCCAAGCCAACAGTTGATTTCACAGAATGAAGATAAAGTAATAGAAAACGGCATAAAAGCGCTGCAACGTAAATTGCAGGCTCCTTTAGAAATAAGTGCAGTGGCAAAAAGTATCCCTGGATGTGGGAGGAGACTATGCAAAGAGAGACCTAACACTCAACAAGCAAAATCCAGAGAAACCATTGGCAACCGAGGTAAAGAAACATTTCTAGCATTTTGTTTATGTAGCTACTTGCAGATGTGTGAGATTGTAAGACGTACAGATTGAATCAGTCAATTTAGTCATAAAGTCTGGTAGGTTTAGTAAATACCGAAAGTCGTCTAAATCAGGGACAGAAAGAAAACGCCTTTGTATTGTGTTTACGTCTTCCATAAACCGCCCAAAATGTCGCATTATGAAGTTCACGTTGTTGTTGAGCAGCAGCAATAAATTTAACACAACGTGTGATGCACATGCAGTACTGCTCATTTCGTTATTAAGCTCATTTCCTATCCAACGTTCTTCTGCATGATAGAAGACGTTAGACGCCCGGAAATGACGTTATCCCATTTTGATTATTTAACCTAGTGTTGGATGCTATGACAGAAAGTAAGATAAGTGGACCTGTTTCAACAAAAGGTAAGAAGTGATCTTTTGGAATTCACATACAAAGGGCGCTCACATTGGAAGTTCGCATAGCCCGACATTAACATCATGTTTGAAGATAAAACTGATTTTGCACCAAGGGAAATATGATCATGTCCATGGCGTCTTTTTTTACCATCGCCCTCTCTTTCGTAACGGTTGGACGTAGGTTGCTCTGTCGGGAAAAAGAAAGGGAAGAGAAAAAAAAAAAAAGATCATAACGTGGGAGTGGTATCAAGCTGTTCAGGCTGAAAACCAAGTTTTTTCTTTAGAAATTCCTGAACTAGTGAACACCAACACGCAGAGAAAGCGACGACAGAATTGCTCGTTCAATATAAAACAATTGCATTTTTTCCAGGTTGTGACGAGTCCTGTCAGAAGGAGTGTCTGGATGCCCATAATCGGTATCGTCTGAATCATGGTGCATCGCCACTGGTGCTGGATCAGAAGTTAGCGAATCAGGCGCAACAGTGGGCTGATAAGAAGGTTTTCAAACATTCTCCTTGGGCAGGGGGGCAGGGTGGGGAGACTATTGCACTTGGCAGTCTTTACCCATCGTTCACCGCGGCAGTCAAAGCGTGGCATGACGAGGAGAAGGATTATGATTGGTCTACTGGAGAGGGACTGGGTGGTATGAAGGTCAATCACTTTACCCAGGTATGTAAGGGAACTTTGCACGTGTGAATTTTAAGGAATCCAGGGATCTGTTCAATGCAGGGCTATGTTAGGATTAACAAGAACTTCCAATCACGTCTACCGTGGAGTAAAATATAGATATATGCCATCAATATTTTACTTTTAGGTGTGTTATACTTCAATATTGTTTTTTAGGTTGTTTGGAAAGGAGCACATTTGCTGGGTTGTGGTAAAACTTTCGTCAATGGAGAACCATACTACATTGCTCAGATGGATACCCCTGGGGTCATAACTGGCGAACCGGGCTTTGACAGGTTAAATGTGGGCAAGCCAAAGGAGGTAAAAATTGAAGTTCTTCAGCCTTTTGGAGGAAATAACAATGAGGCTGGTCATAAGTTTTGAAAAACACCCTTATTCACTTTTGGCATAGTTATGTTATGAAGCCGTAGCCCAAATTCATTTTCTCCCTAAAGGGCCTCTCTCTATAGGTGTGCTAATCCGGTTAGCCAGGCTGGCCCACTAAACCGGGCTGGCTCTAAGTCTCTGTTATGTTTATATGAGGAGAGCGATCCTGGTTCGAGCTGCGGGGTCTTAGGGGCAAGCGGGCCAGCCCGCCTTCTAAGCTCGAAAACTTGCCCACTGAAGCTTTTTAGTTGGTTTTGACTTGCTAGCATGGACAAATTTGTTAGAGTTCTTGGCTAGCAATATTTGGTGCTCGTTATTTATTGACTGTTCATTGACCTGTTTGATTAGAAACAGCTTCTCATCAGACAGGTCAAATTGGACAGTTATTAAGCAACAAACAAGGGCTGATGAGAACCAATCCAGTTATAGAGTTTGTTATTGACACACTTAGAAAAACAACTCAGTTATGTTTATTGTTTCTTTTTTCATTAGCCCGACTTGTATTGGTTTATGGATAGCTCGCCATATTGGAAAGAGATGCAGACAAAGGATTCTATACCAAAAAACATTGAGCATCTAATACTAAAATAGACGTTGCACCCCTGCATATGAATGCTTTATAGGGCAATTAATGTATATAATAAATTTGTAAACAGAGACGTACGGGAGCATTGTCAAAAAAAAAAATCATTATACGAGAGTCGGTGCAGGGTAAAATAATATTTTCCTGTTTTTCCATGCAACCACCCAACTGTGGAAATATTGTGATTTTATTTGAAAGATAATACGTTTTGGTATACAAATAAGTAATTTTTTAGCATTAACATGTAATAAAGAACTAGAAAGGAAAAACGATTTTTCTGAGCCTTGTATTCCTCTTAAATGTGCTTAAATTTTTGTGCGATTTGAAATTACAACCGCAGTTAAATTGTTATCTTACTTTGCTTTAGTTTCAGCTCCATAATCTGTCTTAATCTAAGTGAAAGGAAAATTCACGCAACAGAAAAGTTTGCTACAACATATACGCCGAAATTTTTGAATACACAGTCTTTTTAAAGACATGGCTTAGATTACTTTAAAAGAATTACTCGCGTAGCTGCTTTCCCATATATTGATGGGGCAGGTCGTTTTCTATATTGGCTGCGCGTTTTCCAAGTCCTCGGAGAATGGGGAAGAATCTCTAAACCATGTGCTGTCGTCCTGTTAAAATGAACAAATGGTAAAAAGAAGTACTGTTGTGATGTTTCAATTTCTACCTTACGAAACTTTTTTTCAAAGAGATACGTGGCTCCTTAGCTTTGGGAATCGCTGGCATCGAATACATTCAACTGGGATTTGCACAGAGAAACGAATTTGGCTTTCCGCCCTACAGCGAAAACGAGAGTTTCCCAGGACTTCAGAAAGCCGGTGAATAGAATAAGTTCTGTCAAGATAATTGAGAGTTATTATTTTTTAGTTGACTCATGACTTATTGATTCAGCAACCCACTTACAATTAATTCTATTTTATGCTTTTAATTGACTTCATCACCTCCTTTGATAAAACCGAATCAGTTTCCCACTCATATGAGCTTGGCTGATTATAGGCCGGCTCGGTTGATCAAATCTCGTCTGAGCCCCTCCTTTTTCGTAAAAGTTGGAAGTCCGCTCCTTGTGTTCAAATGAAGATACTCTCAGTTAGGTTACAAGTTAAGTTTGACATCCATACCTGTTTCGGTGTTTCAATGTTGACTGTAGTGATAGGCTTGCCTATAACAGGTGCCTTGTCGTAATGAGCTACATACCACGGCTCACCATAAAATCCACCTCGCGCACATCCGACTTTATGAGCTCCCTTCCAAACCACCTGGGCAAAGTGATCCACTATCTAAAAATACAAAAATACGGCGGTCGGTTGCGCAGTGAGGGAAATGGTATTAAGTTCTCACCTGCTCTATTAGCAAGATTGAGCAGTCGCTTGCCAAACTGATCCCTGGAAAAATGTATCGCGGTCCACCTCGCTTATCCTTATCAAGTGTCAATTTTTTTGTGGGTATAAAGGTGATGTTACTCGAGAAGATTTGCAATGACAATTTTTAGCGCAACACAGCGTTGCAATGTTGGAATAATGTGCTGCTATTTGAAACAATGTCACAAAAATGTAGTAACGCTGTGTTGAGCTAAAAGTTGTCTTTGCGAATCGTCAAATATAACATCACCTTGATTGAAGTACCGTGCACCAAATCACCAAACATAAAAGACGCCGACAATCATATCAAAGTGAAAATCTTGAAGTTGTGTCAAACTTTTAACAATAGCTTTTCTGCAACTCAAAAACAGCCAAAGAAGCGAATCTCATACCTGAGTAGGCTTCTTTGGGTTTCCCGTCTGGTAATCATAATATAATCCTTCGTCGTGCCAATTTTTTATTACCGCTGTGAACGTTGGAAAAAGGGAACCCCAGGCGAAAGCTGCGCCTTTATTTTTCAATTCCACCCAATCAGAATGCTTGAAAACTCCTTTATCAATCAGTGCTTGAGCCTCGTCCGCCAGTTTTTGATCAAACACCAGCGGTGGAGAGCCATGGTTTGCACGGTATTTATTGTGCACCTCGATGCATTCTCTTTGGCAAGAGCGATCACAACCTGAAACATTTGTGGCCTCATAATAAGCATAAAAATCAAGAATTTGTGTCCAGAAAATGAAAAGTAACCACCTATGTTATTTAAACGATTCTTCTAGCGCAAGAAACTACGTAAGCGTTTTCACTCAGAATGAATATGAATATGATATGATTGAAGTGGAAGGACATCCATGAAGTGGCTCTTCGTGTACATTCCTTACCAAAATGCAATACTGGCCATTTCCTAGTTCCACAAACTCTCGCTTTGAAAACAAGGCGAAGTCCAACCCTTTGTTACGAAAAAATGTTTTGATAGAAGAAAAACAGAAGATCGTTTTCAAATCGATGGCATCGACTTAGCATCGCTTTGAAACAGGAGGCGCGGGGCAATACGAAAATGACCTATTAAGAAATATTGGTTATTAAGGAGAGGTGGGAAAAGGATTGGGGTACTCGGAGAAAAACCTGTATGAGCGAGGAAAAGAACATGCTCAAAACACATACATGACGTAGAGGGCTCCCACCACTGCGCCCCTCCCTGCTCCCTGTGTCTTAGTGAAGGAGAATGAAATGAAAACAAACTCAGTCCATGCAGCCACATATGGACACAGGGCTTTATCTATCTGGGCAATAGTGATAGTAAACGAATGCTTCTACTCTGAGTGACTGCGCCATCGTTGCTTTGATCAAAAGTCAGTCAGTCATTTGATTACCCGATTGTGCCCTAGCTACAAACGTTTACATAGTGAAACGATGTCTTAAGATAATGATAACTATCTTTTACTATCTTTTCGAGGGTGGATCGAGACAAAAGACGTCATTGTTTTTCGACAACGCCAGCGCCGAATTAAGAACGCATGTCCTTCTAGAGGCCGATGGCTAGGTTGAGCTTCCCCAGTAAGCTGTAAATTTTTGTATCTTGAAATCGGTGGAAAGCGATCTGGATCCGTGCCTGAATAGAATTTTAACGAAGTTCTCTCTCTCTTTAATGCAGTCACCAAAAGGTCATAAAACATCCAAATGAATTCTCTTGTTTTACCTTTAACGGTGATTAGGCCAAGGGTAACGTAGTGGTGAGTGGATTTGCGTACAAACAAAGTTGGGAGGGTGTTTCATATGGAAGCTAAATTTTCTCTGCTGTTGGTCCTCTTTCTCGATCTGATTGGTTCTTCTGGGTTTATTTTCTTTCCCTTTCCCCTCAAAAAGCAACTGAGCTCCAAATTCCAATTTGATATTGAGCGCACGACGAGATCTTACCGAGAGCTTTAAGGTGTTCCATGAGTGAACAAACTACAGAAAAGTGCTCCTCATACACTGACCTGATGTTCCTCCAGGAAGTGACCGACGGATGGGTTTTATTTTTCCATTAGACAGCTTACTGTCTGATGATAAAATAACCAGTGACGTTAGCTTTCAAGTTAGTAAATTTATAGTATCACTGTAGTACTGGATACACCGTATCTTGAGAGCAGCTAGAAAAAAACGGATCATGTGTCTTATAGGGGGTATCGACAGA